TGCCCTGTACCCAGTGGCCTGGATGGCATGAACAGGGTTGTATTCAAAGCGTGTGGAAATAGGATGACCTACTGGAGACAGTGAAAAATACCAGACTCCCCATATTATTTTCCTAACACTAAAACCAGCATGTTCATTCCATGGGCACACTCCCACTCCCACTGCAGAAAGTGAATGCTAAGGAAAACCCCTCCTGCGAGCCATGCCAGCCACAGGAGATGCGGCATAGCCCTTGTCTCCCGACAATTTTGTATGTGATACACAGCAAACTACTTCTCCCCAGGGAACCCAGGAGGCCCATATTATTCCAGAAAGTTCCCTGGGCAGAAATCCTGCTTCCAAAATCAAGCAGAACGCTTCCCAAAGCATTTCTGCATTCCTGTCAGATCTGCAGGGATCCACTCAGGGGACCTTTTCACACCTTTCTGTGAAATGCTCCATAACTGCAACTGAAAGTCAGGTTTTATCAAGTTTTTCTTTGCAGCTTGTCAGCAGCATTTTGACTAACCAGAAGGGTTACCTCCATGCTTTCCAGTGCTGAGCGGGATGCCTGCAAGCTGTGCGGCTTGTTCAGGGATAGGGATGTAGCCCCCAGCAGCCTGAGAAGCCAGGGAGAATGGTTTCAAAAACAAATTTATAGGTAACTGCAAAGAGAAAATCAACATTTAATTCCCTGCCCCTTGTCTCTCCGTACTGCTTAGCTTTGTGTCCCTTCTGTGCCAGGTGAGGCACAGCCTGGACAGGTACAGCTGGGAAGGGGACGCTCTGGGCAGCTTCAAGTAGAATGGAGGCTTTAAAGTAGATTTGCAAAACATTATGGATTTCATCTTTGCTTAGCAGCTGGTTACTGTGCCGAAGCCACGAATCACACCACTTGAAGTGATTGAAGGAGGGGAAAGAATAATAATAATAAAGTGGCAAACTAGCTCAGGGATAGGCTTGGGAGTCCTATTAAACTTGAGAGGCTACGATTTCTATTCCCAGAACTGCTGGTTAACACAAGAACAAGCACCATGCTTCCCCACCCCATCCAAAGAGTTGTACTAGGCAAAAACTGAGGAGCAAACCAGCAACAGGTCAATCCTGTACTGTGTAGTCAAAAGTTGCCAGCAGATTAACAAGGCAGCGCTCATGAAAAGTCTGCAGCAGCTCTGGCAAGCTTTGCAAAATTTATAATTATAGCTACAGGCTTCATCGCAAAAGGAACCAAATATGTGATGTTTGTTTCTGTGGAAGAATGGGAGGAGACTAATGGTAAAGGAGAGGGAGTGGGAGTGCGGCAGCGGGGAGAGGGGAAGGCAGAGAACCGAGCCCTGCCGAGTTTTCAGGGACCCGCAGAAAAAATCGTCTAAACAGAGTAGTTCAGACCTCAAATACCGTGCGGTGCTTTGACAATCTTCTGGTTTATGGCATACTTAACAAAGTGTTCTTACATTTACTAGGCTGGAATGTCCATTTGACTATAGATTCTCTGCTACTTTGCTCGTACTTTAACATTTTGGACACGTGACAAAAATGTGTGTAACGCATTTTTTAAAGTGTTGATTGTGCTCGTAATTTTCAAGTCAGAATATAAAATAAACATCTCTGCCCTTTCTTCCAGCAGGCAGCACAGAGATCTGCTCTCCGCGTTCTATCTGACAGGTACATTTTGTCATTTTTATGAACTATAAATTGCTTTATGAAACGTTGAGCCCTATTTATTGTGGCATATAACTCATAATCGGATTTTGTCCCCAAAGTATCTGTGAACTGGGATGTTAAACATTTTGCATGCTTGGATTTGTCATGCATGTGTAGAGTTTATTACTGCAAAAATCACAGTCGTCTTGTATTTCATACAGAGTATGCAGAATCCCTTGTTGTGATACCAAACGAGAGATAAGAAACTTACTGGAGAAGGCATGAATGATGCAGTAAATTCTGAGCTTTAGAGTTTGCTGAGATATATCTGAGCTCATTTTTCAGCAATAAGTACTTCATTTATTCTGAGATGTTCTCTTTTGACTTTTTCCAAATCCTTTCCCTGGGAATTACTCTTCTTTTGATGAGATTCCCTGTACATTTTATGCACAGAAACAATGCCCTTTTTTACACCTTAAGTTTTGAGGGATTGGTATTTTGGAGGAATTTAATTCGTTTTTTCACTTCTTCTGCAGCAGTGCTCCAGGCAGATAAGCAGGGGACCAAGTCCTTAGGCAGTGTTCAGGTTTTACTCCGCTCTTTTTCAAGCAAAAATCCATTAACTTCAATGGGAAACTTGCCCGAGTGAGGAATTCAGGATTTGGGCCATAGTAAATGTTATAGTTGGGCCGTAGGTCTGCACAGGTATTTACCTTAAATGACTTTTATGAAAGAGGATTGATTGAAATATAAGGTAGCTTTCTAAGACGGTCCTGATTTCTTTTCCAGTTTTGGGAACGGGGGGATGGAAGGGGGAGGAGAGACTGTACATTTTAGTGCCTGTGAAAAAGAACTAGCAGATTTACATTTATCCACAAATGAGGTACTGTGTCATGCAGGCTGACACAGAGTAAATTTCCCCATGCCTTGTTGGCAGCCCCCTCTGCTCCGTCTGGCCCCCCGCCCCCCGCCTCCCTGGGAATAAGCGGTAATTGACTCTGGAAGCCAGCTCAGGCCAGGATTTCTCCAGAGCAGAGCCTGTCACTTAGGCTGAATTATATGTTGTGCATGGATGAATAACATTTCTCTCTGCTCGGAGGCTAAGACCGCCAAAATTATCGACCTTCCCCCCCAAGTTTACAAACACCATTTTGTTTAGAATTTTTTTCCCCCCCTTGAGGAAAAAAATTCCGGAGTGAAATGTATGGGATGTGGGTGAAATCGCTGGCGCGGTTGTAGGGCACATAAGTATTTGCTGTAACAGGGACGAACGCAAAAAGAAAGAGGAGTCAGAGTCAGCATTATGCTCCTCTCCCTGGAGGCGTGCAGGCTCGCCCCCGAGGCAAAGCAGCTTTTGCACTTGGTGGGGGTAATACTGTGGCCAAAGAAAATGTAGGGGCTTTTTCTCAGCATCCTTCCCCTGGGCTGAATGAGGAACATTCCTGCAGAAGTGCCCCTGGAGGTAGTTAACAAGCCCCAAACCCCTCACTGTGCTTTCTGTCTCCCCTAGAAAGAAAAGTGGCGATGATGAATAGATGGTCCCTACCTCATCAGGGGTGGCGAGGGAGCTGGGCACAGGCTGCCCTCGTCCTCAGGGCAAAAGGGCTGAAATGTTGCCCGTCACACCTCAGATTTGGTATTTATGATCAGAGATTCCCCTCTCTGCCCCAAAAAGCATGCCCGGAGACTACAGCTTTCCCACCTACTCTGCAAACATTCAGCCGTCGGGGCACCCTCGTCCCCTCCCTCTGGAGGGGGTTCTGGGAAGGCTGCGGGTGCCTCCCTGCCGCCTGTAGCCTCACTGCAGCGAGTGAATGGGAGGGCAGGGGGCCAAAAACCCGCACTGTGATGGCAGTTTCTGTCTGGTCTTGGCTAAAGTGAGGATGCCTATGATACTGCTGCTCATTACTTGTGTCTCAGTAGCAAATACGAGCTCCCTGTCACACAGCAGCACTTCCCTGCACCAAGGGAGATGGCAGCTTAAATAAAGCTCTCAGTAATTTCACCCATTATTTTTTCTGAAAAATATTCTCCAGCAGTTCCTGTTTCAGTTTTTGCTTTCAGGTTCTATTAAAAAGGTAACAGTTAGCTAAACTGAAAGGCAGAGGGGCGGGGGGGAGGGAAGGGAGAGGTTTTAAACCTGTAGCCATTGGTTTCTTTAGTGTACTGCACTCAGCCTTGTTTTCAGAATGACACAGTAACCCCCAGCAGATTTATGTGCAAACACAAAGATTAGTGACCCAGAAGCTTGACTGAAACAGCTTTTCTGCTTCCAGAAGACAGGTTGCTCTGCACATGCACTGACTATTTTGTCAGGAAAGATGCACTGGCCCCATTAGCTTTTCATTCTCTCATGAAAAACCCTCGGTGTTTATACAGCACAGCTTGGTTTTAATTTTATTGTGGTCTTCAGTAAAGTGGTCTAACTATACAGATTGCTCAGTTTCTCGGACAGAGAAGAGCAAGAACTTAACTCATATACCTTCATGGTATAGTGCTAGCCTATCTTCAATTGTCCGACTCTCATATCCACTGCCTGAATAGCTTTCAAATGAAGAAAAATGTCTGTAACTAAAATATTCAGTGTGTTCTGTTGTTATTTAACAGTAAGCAGTGTGGTTAAGCCAGGTCTTAAACCTGCTTAATCCCACTGAGCTAAATAGATTTTAGTATTGACTCCCATGGTCCCAGAACTCTGACCTTAAGGCTGAAGTTAAAAGCTAATTTTTTGCAGTCTGTTCCACTAACCCAGAAGCACTTGCTTGCTGGATACATTTGCAATGGAGAATGTCCAGCTGTAAATTACAGCTGGTTGTAATCATACCCAAACACAACACTCATTATTATTCTTTTGTTCTTTTTAGGCTGAAAAGCCCACCATGAGGGAGACCGCACAGTACTTAATCCACACATTAAATTTACTCACAGCTCATATTCATGTGCAAGATAAGACTTTCCATGAAGTAAAGATTTACAGTGGTCCTAGGGTACTTTTATTCCCCTAGCTGCTTTTATTTCTCTGTGCTGTAGTGTCGGCCAAGTGGGTCTGCCTAAGAGTTTTGAATGCTTAGAGGAAAGTGTTGTACCACCGCTGAATTTCCTCTCTTGCTGTAATAGGGGAAAGATAGCTCATTCACTGCGGTGCTTGGGTGGTACTTATGAGACATGCTTAATTCACAGTTGTGGTCTGTTATATTTTCTGTGTACTTAGGCAGGAGGACGCAGGCAGACCATGCTAGCTGTGCCCGCACGAACCTCAGCGCAGGTGTGTAGGGCAGAGGGAGAGCTGAACCCGCTCAGCCCAGCAGTGCTGGCAAGCCTGCCCATGCCAGCTGATAAGTCCTGTAAAGAGTCCAACTCACTAGCTTACACTCAGCACCTGGTTAATATATACGTGTCATCCAGACCTGAGCTGTTAAGTACAGGCTATGATAAACCTTTTTGACTTACCATCTTGGGCTGTTGATAGACAAGGCGTCTCAAAACTAACACCCATTTGGAAGTGTAGACAAGCCCCGTTCATGATGGTTTGTGAGTTACACAGCCTGCCTGAGCTTCGGTCCGCCTTCCTGTCGGGCAGAAGGGATAGTACTTTGCATTTCTGTGTAACCATGCCTTGTCTGTCCATGTTTGATCACGGTTAGGACATTGAAATGCAGGCTGTGCCAGGCATGAGCTGGTTTACCCTAATAGGTCTGGCCAGTTGCACTTAAGATCCTGAAGAGCAAACAAATACTCCCTCTTGTCCTCTGGAGTGGTGAAGGGTTCGGGGAGCTGAGCAGCAGGTCGTGCAAAGCAGCAGAGCCCCACATCTGTGGGGAGAGAGACGTTTGCAAGCAGAGGTGCTGCTGCACCGCCTCTCGTGGGTGCGTGCACGCATTTAGCACTCAGCTGCAAGGATAATCATAGAATCATAGAATCATAGAATCATTAAAGGTTGGAAGAGACCTCCAAGATCATCGATCAAACAGAAAAGGTTGACCTGGGACAATCAAGTCCAATCCTCTGACATTGTAAGCAGCCACAGGATCGAGGATTAGTCCAGTGGGATCTGTAGCATGGCTCTTCTCCTTCAGACAAAGCCACATTGAGATACACCACTTGGGTTAGGAGGCCTGGGGAGGGACTGCCTGTAAAGTATTAAGGCAACAATAAGAGGCAATTTGGGCTTTTAATAGGTCACTTAAAGCAGGGAAGGCAGCTGTCCAAGCAGCCTTAAAACTTTTGGTGGACGGAGCCAAAGATTTCTTGTTCTCAAGTATCTGCTTGAGCTGTGATTAAGCGGAGCGGTTGAACTTGTGATACCCTGAAGTAAGTAAATAGTCCAGTGGCAGCTAGCAAAAACATTCATGTGCTTCGTGTCACTCACATACTTATGTTTGTGTTGGACTGAGTTTTTCGATAACATCACCTTTCACACCGTGAGACCTTCTCCATGTGAGAAGCTATGTGGTCAGCTTATCAGCAGAGTGACTCAGCTAGCTGGCTGGCCGGAAAGGCTTCATGTGACAGGTTTGGGTAATCAGTGACAGCCAAGGGGAAGCCTTGGCTTGGGACAGCTGATCTGGATCCCAGCAGAGAATGACGGAATTGAGATCATGGGCTCCGCAGGAGGCGAAGGTTGGCTGGAGAAGAGCGTACATGCATGGTGTTCGCTGCCACAGAAACAAACACACGGCCCTCACAGCGTTAGCACATTGCTTAAACTTTCTCTTTTTCCTTTGCGAGGAAAAAGAGAACACCTCCCACAGGAGATATGGATTTATCATTTATGCCTTACATGAAAGCTTGGCTGTTTGGAAACGCTGGTGTCCCACAGTTACAGCCCTCCCACATGGTACAGGGTAGCAAAGGGCGACTGCTGCTATGTTTTGTGGCAGAAACGGTCTAGAGTTTCTCAGCCCTCCTAGTTAGAGAACTTGAAGGAGGAAGATTAATGATATGTATTGTATATAGGACACTATTTTCAGTATTGGAGACTTGTGAATTAGTGAAAAGGGTCTTTAAAAGAAGAGCCTGTG